AAACACAAAAAAAAAAAAAAAAAAAAAAAAAAAAAAAAAAAACAAATAGCAAAAATAAATATAATATTAAAAAATAAAATTGATGTCCTTGTTAGTAAATAAAATGAAAAGTTCAAAGAATATAATAAACGAAAAAAATAAATTTGAAATTAAAATAAAAAAAAAAAATTAAATAAAAAAACTAATATCATTATTGCATTCTTATGAATAATATACATATGGCAATATAAAGAATAAAAAAAAAAAAAAAAAAAAATAAATAATTTTAAGTAACATCTATAATAATAAAATATCTTAATGCTTAAAGTTGCAAATTAATACTATAGATACTTGAAATAAAATTTTTTTGTATTTTTATATTTTTTTTTTTTTTTTTAGAAAAGTATAAAATATATATATATATATATATAATTTCAAAAAAAGGAATAAAAAAGAAAATGCATTTTGTTTAGATAATATATACAAAGGAGAAAATTGTGGCTCATTAATAAAAATGTGGCATAGAGGTATATAAGATAAATTTATGGAAATTTTTATTTTCTATAGTGAAATATATTAAACAACATATACTTTAATATGAACTTAATACATTTTCATAAAATTTTAAACAGGAGTACTAACTTTATTATGTAATTCATGCAGATATGTTATACGTAAATGGCATATTCCCTTGTTAGGTAAATATAATTAATTTAATAAGAATTTGAGAAAATAAAAAAAAAAAAAAAGGAATTTATATTAAATACATTTAGTAAATTTTCATATGAAACTTATACTTGAAGTATTTTCTTTTTTTCTTTTCTTTTTTTTTTTTTTTTTTTTATCAGGAATTGATTGTAATGCTAACCCTAGGCATAAACAAGTATTATCAAATCCTTCTCCAAGATCTAGAGGAATTCCGAAATACTTGGAAAAATATATTTTTTACAAACAGTCTGTTAGAAATCCCAAATATAAATCTCAATTTATTACTATGTACACAGCAGGTTAATTAAAAAAAAAAAAAAAATAATAATACAAATAATTATGATAAATATATAAAAACTCTAAAAATCTTTAACACTGCGAATATTTTTTTTTTAATTGTAAGTATTTTACTTTCTTTCTTTTTTATAGGAAGAAAATATAGACAACAAATTAAAAAAACTGCATAACTTCACATTTTGATTATTATTTAAAATTTTTTAAAATATGTTTAAATTAAAATAAAAATAAAAAATATTAGAAATCCTTTAAATTTTTTCTAATCTCATAATTTAATTGAAAATATAAGAAAAAATTATATAAAACACTTTTTTACTTATAATTTCATGAACATATTTTTAAATAAAAAAAAAAAAAAAAAAATGATATATGAAAATTACAAACGTTAAACACTGAAAAGTATAGTATCTTAACATTATTATATATATTTTAATTTTACAAAATTAAAGATGCAACTTGTATTTTATATAATTCACTTAGTTATTTTTTCATAAGTTGAATAAGCAAAAATGCTTTCACTGTATATTTTTTATAAATGATTAAAATTTTCTGTATATATTTTTCTACTACTATAAATTGCTTATATTATTACTATAAATTATTAACCTTTAATAAATCTAATTTTCGCTTTCATTATCATCATCATTTCCCTTTTTTTTTTTGGGATTTTCGTCATCATCTTCATCATCATCACCGAGAAGTTCATCATCATCATTGTCAAGATCATCATCCACTGTTTCATTAATATCTTCATCATTATCATCATCATCATCATCATCATCACCATCATCATTTCCGAAAAAGGAACCATAATTATCATTACCTCCTACATTTCCGCCATTAACATTACCATCATCAGCTTTTGCTTCAGGAGCTTCCCTTTCTAATACGGTTGGTGATGGTGATGACTCTTGTTCTTCATCTTCAGGTTGTGCAAAAGGATTTGGTTGAGCATAATCAGAAGAACATTGATATTTTTTATTGAAATGTACTATGATGCTTAAAAGAACAAAAATAAAAAAAAGATTTTTGAGAATCATTTTGTTTACAATCTAAAAAAAAAAAAAAGAAGAAAATTTTTTTTTAAAATTTTTGAAATCTATTTATATGAAAAAATTTTAGTTAGCTATCTAAAAAAAAAAAAAAAAAAACAATAAATACATACATATGCTTTTATATATTAAACTACTTTATGTTTAAATATATGGTACTACTAAAGTATTAAAAGCTTCTAAATGTGATATTTAAAGAAATGTTAAAAATAAAAATTTCAATATATATTTGAAAAAATTTCCTTTTAAAAATAGTAATATATATTATTAAAAAAATAAAATAATAATCCTTAAATTTTTATATATCCTAAATTTTCATAAATATCCTTTCAAATGAATTATATATTTTTATTATATTTTTTTTTAAATTAAAAAGAAATCTTAAAGCAATAAGAAGTGTAATTTTTAAGAGAAATTTATTTTAAAAATTTACTTTGAAAAATAAGCTACAATTTTTTTTTATTTTGTGTGCGCATTTAATACATGCAACCAAGAAAGAAATAAATAAATAAAGGAAACGGGGTGCATGCAATTTATAATAGATGCATGTATTAAAAAATAAGATGCACTTAATAAAAAATGGGTTAAAAAGTACTAAAATAATTCGTACATGTAAAATATAAAATACACAATATTTAATATTTAACCCTATAAACAGTAGAAAATATGGTAAGATAGAACCTGTAATAATATAAAGCGTGTTTAAATTGATATTAAAAATATATTCATATTTATTTTATGTTTTTCTCATATTTATAACATAGTTTAAATGTTATAGTAATCAGTGAATCAGGTTATAACATTAGATGTATATCTTTCTTAAATTTAAAAGAACGAATTTAAAGTAAATAAGTAGAATAAACTTAATAATTATCCTATTTTTATTAATAAAAAACTTTTATCACTTTAAAATTTTTAAATAGAACGTAGTAATTAAGCATAAACCTATGTGTTTTATCATTTTTACGATATTTAAATAAATAGCCTTAATAAATAATATTTTAGAATATTTACAAAAATGGAGAAATGTTATTCCTCTAAAATATAGAAGTATGTTCTTTTGAAAACAACATACCTATGGAAATTTAAAAAAAAAATACATATTTAAAAATAACATCTTATTTAGGTTAATTTCAATGTATTTTTTTATTTTTTAATTATATCTTTTAGATTATTTTATTATGAAATTAAAAGTTTTAATATATTTAATAAAAAAAATTACAGGAAAAACTTACAGAAAAAATAAATTAGAAATTTAATGTAAAATAAGTTTTAATTAATAGGAATGTAATAATTTTAAATGTTGTACTTATTACTTATAATTTTTATATTTATAAATAAGTTTTTCATGTTTATTAAAAGTTTTTTTTTTTTTTTTTTTTATCATTCTGTCCAAAAGGTTTTATTTTTATTATTATTATTACACATTTATAATAAATAATTAAAATTAATAATTCAAATATATTATTATAATATTTTTTATTTTCAATATTAATAAAAAGGGAATAATAAAAATAAAAAAAAATTTTAAGTAATTCTTTATTATTTAATGGGATAATTAAAATTGGGATATACAATTTACCCTTACAGAATATGTGAATATAAAAAAAAAATTGTTCATTATCTAAATTAATACATAGAAAAGTATAATTTTAAATTATATGTATTTATTTTATTTAAAAAAAATAAAAATATAATGAAAATCAATCATAGAAATGTAGTTTAGATAACATCCTTTAAAAATTATTTCTTTTTATTAAATGCTTATTTAATTATATATCCAATTAACAAAAATTTTATTATTCATTATCATTTTACAAATAATATGATATTTTCTGATTATGGGAATAATAATAAATAATTTTTATTCTATGAATTGTAAATTTCTTAAGCTTTTAATAAATTTTAAAAAATATATAGGAATTTAAAAAAAATCATCTAATATTAAATTTTTTAATTATAAAATACCATAAATTTATTACGCTACTTTTTTTTATTCTAAAATAATAATACTACTATGTATATTTTGTGAATGTTGAATTTATCATATTTTTTTTGTGAAATATTTTATATGTCTTATTTCCTTTTATTTACATAAAGTATATTTATTTTATTAGTTTTCTCATAATATTATTTTTTCTTATTATCTTTTATTATTGAATAATATATTTTGTAATATTTGTAATATATATATTCATTTCTTTGTTTTTTTTTTTTTTTTTGTGCACAAATTTATTTATAATACTTTTCTTAATTTTTTCGGAATGTATTATTCATTATTTTATTTACTTTTTTAAATATTAAATAATCTTTCTTTAATTTATAAAAAAATAATAATTTCTATTATAACCTTATTGAATTGTATCTTTTTAAAAAGTAAAATTTTTATGGTGAATTTTTGCAACAGTCATATTTTTTAGAGAAAAGTTCATTTTTTTGTAAGGTAATATTTATTTTACAATTTCTATAGAAGTTAATTTATTTTTTTTTTTTTTTCTAAATAATATATTTTTACATATAAAATTACAATTTTTAATTTTTTTAATTTATAATTTATGCAAAATAAAAATTATTTTGCTCTATAAATGTGAAATATTTTGGAAGGTATTAAATTATTAATTAAATATTGAAGTATTAATTATTGTTTAATTTTTTTTTTTTAATATTTCCTTAAATATATTATTTTAATGAAAATATTTCATATTTTTGTAAAATTTATATTACAATAATTTATATTTATTTTATTATTTTTTTTATTATATAAAAATTTCAACTTGAAAAATGGATCCAAATGCAATAAATGAAAAATTTGATTTTTTTATGTTAAATTTTGCAAGAGAGTGTGGAGATATTAATAATTTATTGAATCATTTTTTTTATTTTTTATTAAGAAAAACAGATTTTATTTTAAAATCAAAGAACTTGGAGCAATGTGAAGAAATTGTATTAAAAAATTTGAGAAAACAATATGCGAAAAAGGAGAAATATATGGCTGAACTGAAAAAAGAACAGATTAAAGAAAGTGAATGTAAAGAAAATACTGTAAATTCAAATCTTAAAAAAAATAAAGAAACAGAAAAAAACGATAATAAAGTGAAAGACGAAAAAAAAAATACGAAAATAAATGAAAATAAACAAAAAAATGATGATAATAAAAAGGAAAAGAAAAAAAGCAATTCAGCTGATTCTGATGATTCTCTTCCACCAAAAGACAATGGTGGAATAACTGACAAATACAGGTGGATTCAAACTACAAGTAGCTTAGAAATGTTTATAGACGCAAAAGAAAAAATAAAAACAAAAGATATTAAAGTAGACATAACATATAAAAAATTGTTTGTAAAAATAAAAGATAAAGTAATTATTGATGGTGAATTTTATAAAAAAATAAAACCTGAAGGTTCTATTTGGACACTTGAAGATAATCAAATCATACATATACTTATTGAAAAATTACACACAATGGAATGGTGGGCTACAGCTATTAAAGGAGATGCAGAAATTGACGTAAAAAAAATTGTACCAGAAAATTCTCGAATGGATGATTTAGATCCTGAAACAAGAGCTGTTGTAGAGAAAATGTTATATGACCAGAGACAAAAATCTTTAAATTTACCAACATCTGATGAACAAAAAAAATATGAAATTTTTGAAAAATTTAAAAAAATGCATCCAGAACTTGATTTTTCAAATGCTAACATAAATTTTGGTAATTCGTCAAATAACATTTTTTCTGGAAAGTAATATAAAAAAAAAGTTATGATTTTTTTTTTTTTTTTTTAAAACCAATGAAAATTTTTTATTTATTATAAGTCATTTTTTTTTAACCTTGAATTTACCATTTTCAATAGTTTGAACACTTATGAATTTCATTTGTATTTACCTCATAAAGTTCATAAATTAAAATGTGCATATCCGTGCAAATATAATGGAATTATAAATATATATGAAGTTATAAAATATAAATTAATATAAATTAATATATATATATATTTTTATATTATATATGTATGCATATAGTTACAAGGAATTAATAATAATATTTTTAAATAAATTAATCTATAACTTTATATGTTTATTCAAAAAAAAAAAAAAAAACTAATATAAAAATGAATATAAAAATTAAATAAATAAAATAATATTTTGTAATATTTTATAATTTAATTAATATATATTTTCACAATCTTTATTAATAAGAAAAAATTTCTTTAAAATAAAAGATCCACTTAAGTAATAACAAAAAAATAATATTAACAAAAATAAAAATATGTATATATATATATATATACATATATATATGTATTTATAATTAAATTAAAATATTTATAATTAATAAAAGAAAAATAATAACTATTAATATACTAAGTTGTGAATGAAGAAATATACATTGAGTTACACATGATTCTATAAGTAAATAAAAGTGTATATTTCCAACTTTCCCTTTTTACAAATATATTATTAACTATAATTATGTCTTTTTTTTTTTTTTTTTTTTTTTTTTTTTTCCTTGCATTTATTTGGTTTATTTTATATTATTTTATTTACTAACAAATATTTATAATATTTATTTAGATAAGTTAATATTACAAAATTGTGAATAATTTTTTATGCAACTTTTAATTTTTATGATATTTTTATATTCATTATTTATCTACTTTAATTGCATATAATAACGATAATAATAATAAATAAAAATAATTTTTACATATCTTTAAATTTTTTAAGACTAGATTTATTATCGTTGAAAAAATATAAGATATCTTCATCTGTCAATGAATTTCTTTTTTCTTGATGTTTTTGTACTAAATCAGTTAAAATATCAATGAGTATTTTTTTGATTTCTCCACTTAACATTTCTCCTTTTTTATATTTTTCTCCAATTTCATTTAATTTTTCATCATCCACTAAAAAATATCTTAAATATTGATAAGAAATATCTTTTTCTAAATCTGCTCCTTTTTCTTTGTGTTCAGCTATAGTAGCTCCTCCTCCACTAAAAGCATATTTGTTAATTTTATTTTTTATTTGTTCAGGTGAATCAGTTAAAAAAATAACGCTATTATTAATATCTTGTTTACTATCCATATTTTTGTTATCTTTCTTTTTTGTGCTACTCATTTTGGTATTTACACCTTGCAATCCTGGCATAAAAACGGAATGAATAACAACTGGTTTGTATAGAGCTAATTTAACAGCTATATCTCTACTTAATCTAAAATAAGGGTCTTGATCAATTCCTTGAGGAACTAAGCATGGGATATTTTTCTTTAAAAAGTTTGGGAAACATTGAGAAAAACAAGGAGCTATTTGAAAGGATGGATACGATATTTTTCCTATGTTATCACTATTATTGAAACCAAATACATTCATACTTTGATTTAATGTTGTTTTTTTATGAATTGCTAATACAGTTGGATATAAATGATTTGCATATTCTGTATTTTTAAAAATAAAGGTTAATTCTGGATTAAATCCTACTGCAATAATATCTTTTACATTTTCTTTAGTGAATCTATTTATATCATCTAAAGAATAATTTTGGTTAAATAAAAATTTTTCGTCATCAGATAGCTGTATAATTAAAGGAACGTTAAAAGCATCTTGCAAATATTTACAAAAATAAAAAGGTATAAGATGGCCTAAATGCATAGACAGAGAAGATGGTCCCCTTCCTGTGTAAATATAAAAGTATCCGTTCTGTTCATAATAATTTAATAAAAAATCTAAGTCTCTATGGCTAAAAAAAATCCCTCTTCTTATAAAATGGTGAGCTTTTCTATTAGTTAACTTTTCGATTTTTCTAATATGTTCATCACTGATTTTTGAGCAACCAAATTCTTTTATTAATTTATTATAATTAATTCCTTCTTCACCTATATTCACATCCCATGGGGTAACTACTTTTGATGATTCATAATTAACATTTTCAATTCCTGATGGAGGTAAAACTTTATTTTTAGGTAATATATCTTCTTCATATAAATAAGAAAACTCGCTCTTTTTATCTTCTATTTCATAAATTTTCTTATTAGTTACTTTTATAATAGGTGATAAAAGAAAATTGTTTAATTCCTCTTCATTTTTATATATTGTATTTAATTCTTCAAAAGTATATTTGGGATTAACCAAAAAATGAACTTCTAATGACTCTTTATTATTTAAATACTTAAATTTATTTATCTCTATATTTTTTATTAAACCACTATGTTTTAAAACTCTATTTCTATTACAATTTATATTCCATTCTTCTAAAATGATCAAGTTTACTTCATTGATTTCTTTTGATAAACCATAATTATCATATATAGTATCACCATATATCTTTTCTGCAATTGTTCTATTAATTTGATAATTGTAAAAAGGGCAATTTTCTTCAATTTTAGTTTTTATTAATTGTTTTATATCATTATACTGACTTATAGTTGGTTCTTTAAAAATAGATTTTACTGTTATTATACCAACATTGTTTTGCTATAAAAAAAAAAAAAAAAAAGTAAAATAAAATAAACAAATATTTAAAAAGGAAAGAAAAATAAATAGTATTCATATAAATAATCTTAATAGTAACTTGTAATGTTATTCTAAGAAATAAAGTATAAAATTACAAAATTAAGCATTCACATATATATATATATATATGTATATATATATGTATAAATTTAATAGAGTATCAGTTTTAAATTATAAGAATTAAGGGAGATTTTATTTTTGTTTATATAATTTTTTTTTTTTTTTTCTGAAGTTACCTTTTTTTTAATACTTTCAGTTGTTCTACCAGTAGGTATTTGAAGAATTACACATAAAGCTCCTTTAATTATACTTAAAGCCGAATCTATGTAAATTGTTTTTAATTTATCCATTTATTTAACTTTATATCAATTTAATGTAGCTACTTATGAATTAAATTAATTTTATATATATATATATGTATATTTCTTTATTTCAAATTTAAATTATCTAGCATACTTTTTTATTAGTATATTTTATATTGTATATCTATTTTTTTTTTTTTTTTTTTGAAAATTTTTATTTTGACATTCTTTTTATTTTATAATGCATCTTTATTTAACTTATTTGTAATTATATTTTTAATGTATCTAAAAAATAATTAAAAAAAAAAATATATTTAATAAAATTTTTTTTTTACAATTATTTTATGTCCAATAAAAAATTTTTTATAATTAAAATTTTATCAGTATATATATTTAAAAAAGAAAGTAATTTTTTTTTCTTAATTTGTATTTAAAATAAATTTATAACATTTTTTTAATAAAACCTTATGAACTTTTTGTGTTTTTTAAGAAATAATTACAAAAAAATTTTGTGGCAAAGGATTTTTTTTGAAAAGAGGTTTTATTTAGAACAAATTGTGGTATATTAAATTTTAAGGAAAATGATAATTTTTGTAATTTTTCTTTTATATATATAGATAAAAGATATATTTTAAAAGTATTTCATAATATTTAAGGTAAAATATTTTACGAATAAATAAGGTATTTTTTACAATCTTTATTTTTAAATAAAGAAGTATACATATTATTTAATGAATTAAGACTCATAATTAAAATAGTTTAATAATGTTAATATAAAAATTTAACATTCAGATTTATTGATAGTAAATTAAAGAATTTTTTTATTAACGAAAAAAAAATATGTATTTATATATGACATATAAATCTCTCTATTAATGCTTAATAAAATAATCTGAAAATGTTAACTATAAATTTTCAAGAAATGAGTTATATTTATCTTTATTATCTTCATAATAGGATAAAAAATCATCTAATGGTATCATATGAGGGTTTTGTGTAAAATAATCAATTTTAGCTTTATCATCTTCAACCAATGAAACAATGTTTTTTAAAGTTGAGTCAACTGAACCCTAAAAAAAAAAAAAAAAAAAAAAAAAAATTATTTATATGCATTTCATTATGAAATAAGTATATATTTTTTTATAAATAGGAGAGAAACATATATTAAAATATATAGAATTATAACCCCTTGCAAGAACTGTATAATTTTATTTGCTTTATCTTTATTGTAAAAATTATTATTGAATATTCTATTCCATATATATTTCGATAAAACTGAGCAGTATAAATAAGAGTAATAATTAGATGGGTAATGGATTAGATGAGATGTTTTCGAAAAATGTATTTGAGGAAATAAATCTAGAATAAAAATATCTTTGTAATAAATATTGGAAAAATATTTTTTTATTTCGTTTTCTATTAATTGTTTTCTTTCTATAATTGAATCAGTACAATGAGAGAAAGAATAAAATATTTGATCAATTATTGATTGAATAGTAATTTGAACTAAAGAATAATAACATATAATATTTTTATTTCTCATATAACTTTTAAGTAAAAATTTCATGTTTTCTTCATTTTTATTTTTACTATATAGTAATAACAAACTATCATAATTATTTAAATATTCTTCAAAAAAATGAGAGGAAAATTCTGAAAAATCCACACCACTTCTATTTCCTGATAAATGCTGTAAATAAGTTGAACTTAAAATGCAATGCAAAGTATGACCAAATTCATGAAGAAACATATTAACTTTATCAATAGACATTTTTATTTTACTTAAAAAATATTTTACTTTGTTATTTCTAAAAAATTCATCATTACAATTATTTATATCAACAGTATTATCTTCTTCATCTTTTAAATTTATGTTAAAATTACAAACCAAAAAAGTAGAAGTTATTTGCCTATAAATGTTGTGAATATTTATGTTAGTATTATTTCTCACACTATTATCATTATAATTATTAATTATGTTATTACTGTCTTTATTTTTAACAATCCCACTATAAAAAAAAGGGTATTCATCAACATTTTCTTCTAACCATTTATATTTTAAACAAATATTCATATTTTTCGAACAACGTACAGTGTATTGTGCAATTGAATGATTTTTATTTTCTCTTTCAAATAGATCCATATAAATATACCCATAAATATAATTTTCTTTTTTTATTTCAAATTTTAATATGTTTTCATCCCATAATTCATTTTTTAGAGGTATAACATTAACCATTTCTAATGAATAAGTATCTTTTAAAAGTTTAATTACAAATTTAATTACGTCATACAAATTCAAATTATTATTCATTTGTTCTTCTATTTTTTTAAGTTTCACTTCTTTTATTTTATTCATATAATAAAATATATTTGAAGGACATAATTTAGCTACATTATTGCTGTTATTTTTTGTTCTATCGATTGTATTATCTTTGAAATTAATGTTTTTGTTATTATCTGTACTTTTAATAGAATCATTTTGATTGCTTTGTTTTAATTTATTATTTGATATAGATATAAATTTTTCTATAAATTCTAGTTCTTTGAAAAAGTAAGGAAGAATATTTTCTAAGAAATTTTTTAAGAAATAATTTACTTTGGTAGGGGTATTTAATATACATGACTTCAATGAATATTCACTATAATTTTTAAAACCTCTGTAACTTATTAACATATTTCTATAATAATGAAGAATTAATATATTATTTAAAAACATATTATTAGGCTTTTTTAGTAAGTTATACACACTATTTGCTATATTTTCATCATCAACTCTTTCCAATATTGTCATTACGAATGAACTATCTTGTATTAGGTATATATAATCATTCAAGGAATATTTTGGGTTTATTTTAATTTTATTATTCTTAATTAAAGGTATTATTTTTTGTTCATAATCTTTGATTATATTTTCATCAATATGTTTTAAAAGTTTCCTTTTATCTAAATATATTCCGTCATATTCACTGCAAAAATTTGATGAAGCATGAAAAGAAAAATTCTTTTCATAGGATTGTAATTCTAAATAATTTTTTTTTTTTTTTTCATCTTTTATATGAACTCCTTGATTTTCCATTGATATAAGCATATTTTTCAAAACTTCTTTGTGCTCATTATCTAATAATTTTATATTTTCGTTATATTTTTTTTTTAGAAAATTATAAATATTTTGATCAATATTAATTCTATCGATATAGTTTGTTAAATTTTCCAAAGCACTATGGGCTTTTTCAATTGTTATTTTATTATTATGTAAATTTCTTAGTAATTCTAATGCATCTCCTAATTTACATAAATTATTTGAGACAGTATCTATCATATTTATAATTTTAAAAATATTATTTTCTTTATATATGTTATTTAATATTTTATCACAATTTTGTATACATATTATACTGGAATTTATTATACTATCACTATGACTTGTTATCCCTATCAATTCTAATAAAAATCCTCCATTTTTTTTATTTTTTTTTTCTACCTTTTGTAAAATAGAATCAATAGCATTTATATCATCATTATTTAATTGGTCTATACTTTCAGAGAATTTATTAGAACTTGTAGAAGAATTATAATTATTTCTTTTATCTAATCTAATATTATTTTCTAGTGTTAATTCTTTATTTTCATTTTTTACTACGTTTTTTAATTTTATTTTTTCTAGTATTTTTGAAATGTCGTTTCTATTAAATTTTTTAAAAAAAAAATTTCTATTTAATTTAGTCCCCCAATATCTTATAGTATCATTTTTTCTAATTGTCCAATTATATATTAAATGATTCATGCTTTAATATATTTATATAATAATGTATCCTCATATAATATTACGTATATATTTTTAGTAAATATCCCTCACAAATTGTATAAAATAAATGTTTTAATATATAAAAAACACTTTTAAAAATGTTTGAATTAATTTTGAGTTCATATTTTAACTTTTTTTTTTTTTTTTTTTTTTTTATTATTATAACCTTATATTTTTTTAATTTTTGCTTTTATATTT